TATTCGCTACAAAACGTGCAGCAATCATGTAAGTTCCATGATAAAAAAAAAAAAAAAAATACAGGACCTAGTAAAATCTATGCATGTTCACAGTGACAGTGCTGCTATGTGCCCCCTAAAGCTCACCGCCCCCTGGCTCCTGCATGGACGTTTTGAGTCATTGTTTAACGGACAACAGAGGTTTAAACAATGCTGTGATGCTCTGGGGGCCGTTCCCCATTGATGAGCTCATTTGGTATTGCATGATTTCTGAATTCCTAGAAATAATACCTAATGTTTATAAACACTTTCAGAGTTCAAAGGGCTTTTTTGTTTTCTGTTAATCCTCATCCGGGTATATTTTCCATTGATTTTTACATAGAGTGAAAGAGAGAGGGAGATGCCGAAACCGGTGTGGCTCAGTGGTAGAGCGTCGGTCTGCGGACGGAAGGGTCCCGGGTTCGATTCCGGTCAAGGGCACGTACCTTGGTTGTGGGGCACATCCCCGGTAGGGGGTGTGCAGGAGGCAGCTGGTCGATGTTTCTCTCTCATCGATGTTTCTAACTCTCCATCCCTCTTAATTCCTCTCTGTGTAAAATCAATAAAATATATTTTTTTTAAAAAGAAAGAAAGAGGGAGAGACAGAGAGAAACATCGATGGGAGAGAGACTCATCAACAGGCTGCCTCCTGTATGTAGGGCTGGGGCTGGGCAGAAGCCTGCAACCTAGATACATGCTCTTGACCGGAATCTTTTTTCCCTTTCTTTCTCTTTATTTTTTTCTTTCTCTTCCTTCCTTCCTTCCTCTCTCTCCTCTTTCTTCCTTCTTTCCTCTCTCTCCACTTTCTCTCTCTCTCTCTCTCTCTCTCTCTCTCTCTCTCTCTCTCCCTCCTCCTCTCCTCCCTCCTCTCTCTCCTCTCCTCTCTCTCTCTCTCTGCTTTCTTTCTCTCTTCTCTTTCTTTTCCTCCCTCCCTCCCTCCCTCCCTCTTTCTTCTTTTCTTCCTTCCTTCCTTCCTTCCTTCCTTCCGTTCTTCCTTTTTCTTTCTCTCTTTCTCTCTTATTTTTAATCCTCCCCCGAGGATATTTTCCCATTGATTTTTAGAAAGAATGGAAGACAGAGGACACAGAGAGAAACATCGATGGGAGAGAGACACATCGATGGGTTGCCTCCTGCACAAGCTGCCACCAGGCCAAGGAGTGAGCCTGCAACCGAGGCCCGTGCCCTCGACTGGAATGGAACCCGGGACCCTTCTGTCTGCAGGCTGGCGCTCTGCCCACTGAGCCACACCGGCTGGGGCCAAGGATTCGCCTTGAACGCTGAGAAGGAAGGCGGTGGCTCCGGGGGGAGAGAGGCGGGGGGCGGTGGGATGGTCTCCGGGGACGCGGGCCCACGTCACGGGTGACCCCGGCCCTCCCTCTCCCGCCAGGACTGCCCGCCGGACGCCGAGGACTTCCGCGCCCAGCAGTGCTCGGCCTACAACGACGTGCCGTACCAGGGCCGCCACTACGAGTGGCTGCCGCGCAGCGACGACGCCGCCGCCCCCTGCGCGCTCCGCTGCCGCGCGCGCGGCCAGGCGCTGGTGGCCGAGCTGGCGCCCAAGGTGCTGGACGGCACGCGCTGCCGCCGCGGCGCCCTGGACATGTGCATCAGCGGCGCCTGCCAGGTGGGCCGCCCCTCCCGGAGCCACGCCCCCTCTCCCGACGTGCCACGCCCCCTCTCCTGACTGCCACGCCCCTCTCCCGACGTGCCACGCCCCATCTCCTGACTGCCACGCCCCCTCTCCTGACTGCCACGCCCCCTCTCCTGACTGCCACGCCCCCTCTCCTGACGTGTCACGCCCCCTCTCCCGACGTGCCACGCCCCTTCCCGAGACGCCACGCCCCCTCGCGGACACCAGGCCCCTTCCCTGAGAAACCACGCCCCTCCCCAAGACGCCAAGTCCCTTCTCGCGACGTGCCACGCCCCTCCCTGGACACCACGCCCCTTCTCCCAATGTGCCACGCCCCTCCCGGACACCACGCTCCTTCTCCCGACGTGCCACGCCCCTTAAATGAGAAACCACGCCCTTCCCGGGATGCCACACCCCCCCTCCCGACGCCCCACGCCCCTTCCCCGACACACCACGCCCCCTTTCCCAACACGCCCCTCTCCTCCCCGGGATGCCACGCCCCTCCCTGATAAACCACGCCCCCATCCAAACACACCACAACCCTTCTCCCAAGGTGCCACGCCCCTTCCATGCCACGCCCCTCTCCCAACATGCCACGCCCCTTCCCCCTAGATGCTACACCTGCTCTCCCAGAACACCATGACCCTTGTCCTTAGACGCCACGCCCCCTCTCCTGATGCACTACCCCCCTCCCTGAGACGCCACGCCCCTTCCCTGAGACTCCCCAGAACGCCACGCCCCCTCTCTAACGTTCGACGCCTTCTCTCCAGACGCGCCACACCTCTCCCCCCCTAGATGCTCCGCCCCCTCTCCCAACACACCACGCCCCTTCTCTGAGACACCACGCCCCCTCTCCCACGCACCGCGCCTCCTCTCCGGAGCCACCAGGTCTGCGGACTGAAAGGTCCCGGGTTCAATTCCGGTCAGGGGCATGTACCTTGGTTGGGGGCATATCCCCAGTGGGGGCTGTGCAGGAGGCAGCTGATCGATGTTTCTCTCTCATCGATGTTTCTAACTCTCTATCTCTCTCCTTTCCTCTCTGTGAAAAATCAATAAAATATATTTAAAAACAAAACAGACAAACAAAGAAGCAACCATATCGTCAGGATGGAAGGATCCTAAAGGCCATTGGGTTCAGCTGCCCGTCAAATAATTGGATCTCTTTTCCGAGGTCCTCACGCAGAAGACCCCCAGCCCCTGGCCTGCCCGGAGGTGGTCACCTCTGACCACATCCTCTGACCTGCCGGATGTGGTCAGAGGGCATTCAGTTAGGCTCAACCCCATCCCTCTCACCATCGGGACATTCTCGGAGCAAGTGTAACGCTTCCCCCTGACTGCCCCATAGAAATCTGAGAATATTCCCTGCCTGGATGGTGTGCCTCCGCAATTGAGCATCAACCTATGAACCAGGAGGCCAGGGAGTCACGGTTCGATTCCCGGCCAGGACACAGGCCTGGGTTGCAGGAGGCGGCCGATCAGTGATTCTCTCTCCTCATGAGTGTTTCCCTCTCTCTCTCTCTCTCTCTCTCTTTCTCTCTCTCTCTCTCTCTCTCCCTTCCCCATTCCTCTTGGAAAGCAATAAAAATATGTATACCAGAGGCCCGATGCACAAAGATTCATGCTAGAATGAATCTGGCTCCTGGCACTGCTTTTGCTCCCACGCTGGCCAGAGGCCCAGATTGTTCCTGGAAGTTTTAGGATATCTTCCCTTTAATTTTTTCTAGACACTCTGATTTCACATCTGTGTCATTGCCATGGTGATGATGCAAGTGTGTGCAAATTTTTTTAAGAAATTGAAAATTAAAAAAAAAAAAAAAGATTATGGGATACACCCATAGCCCCCTGCCACTTGATGCCTGTGTATGCAAATGAACCTGCCATCTTTGCTGGGTTAATTTGCATACTCAATCCTGATTGGCTGGCGGGGTGTCGCGGAGGCACGGTCAATTTGCATCTTTCTCTTTTATCAGCATAGGTATTGTAAAGAGAAAAAAAAGTGGGGGGAAGGGTTCCGCCTCCCTCATTCTCACGGCTCTGACCCCTGCTCTGTCGCAGGCAGTGGGCTGTGACCGGCAGCTGGGGAGCCGCGCCAAGGAGGACAACTGCGGGGTGTGCGGGGGCAACGGCTCCACCTGCAGGCTGGTGCGGGGACAGACCAAGCTGCACGTGTCGCCCGAGAAAAGTAGGTGTCACCCCCCCACGCCACGTCACCTCCCAGCGAAATGTTGGCCTTCTCACAGGCGGATTTGGTTTTACGAAATGACGAGGTGCCGATGCATGAAGATTTATGCATGGGGAGGGGGTGCCCCTGGGGGAACCCCTTTCGCGTCCCCCGTGGCTCAAGTTCAGGGTTCGGGTTCTGAAGGACGCTGCACTCACAGGAGAGAGACTAGAAAAAATATGCCTGGGTGGCAGGCTCCATCCCCAGTAGGGGGCGTGCAGGAGGCAGCTGATTCATGATTTTTCTCTGATCCATGGATATTTCCATCTCTTTCTCCCTCTCCCTTCTTCCCTGAAATTAATAAAAAATATTTTTTTTTTTAAAAAGCTAAAAAAACAAAACTCTAACCAGTGTGGCTCAGTGGATAGAGTGTTGACCTGCAGACTGAAGGTTCCCAGGTTCAATTCCAGTCAAGGACATGTACCGTGGTTGCAGGCACATCCCTGGTAAGGGGTGTGCAGGAGGTAGTGGAGTCGATGTTTCTCTCTCTCATCGATATTTCTAGCTCTCTATCCCTCTCCCTTCCTCTCTGTAAAAAAAAAAAAAATCAATAAAATATATTTTTTTTTACAAAAACAAAACTAGGGGCCCAGTGCACAAATTTGTGCACAGTTGCTATCCAGATGGTTGGCCCATGGGGTGGGCCCGAATGGGGGAGGGGCCGAGGGAGGACTCCAGGGCGAATCCAGTCCGTCTCGCTTAGTCCTGATCAGCTTAGTCCTGATCAGCAGGACCCCAGAAGCAAGCTAACCTCCTGTTCCCAGCACCTGCCCCCTGGTGGTCAGTGCATGTCCTAGCTGGCGGTTGAGCTGCCTTAGCATATCATTAGCATATTACGCTTTGATTGGTTGAACAGATGACCAATCACTGAGCATCTTAGGCTTTTATTACATAGGACCCATCCGCTGATATCAAGGACACGGCTTCTGACCCAGAGCTAATGTTTTTTTGTTTGTTTTTTTAAAAATATATATATTTTATTGATTTTGTACAGAGAGGAAGGGAGAGAAATAGAGAGCTAGAAACATCAATGAGAGAGAATCATCGGTCAGCTGCCTCCTGCACACCCCCTACTGGGGATGTGCCCGCAACCAAGGTACATACCCTTGACCGGAATCGAACCTGGGACCTTTCAGTCCACAGACCCATTCTCTATCCACTGAGCCACACCAGTTTCGGCCGGAGCTAATGTTTATTGATTGGCTGACTAGGGTGCGGACAACTTATTTCCTGGATGTCTCGCTACTTGGGGATGCTGGATGGGCGGCAGGAAGTGAGACATGGGAGAGCTATGTCACACCAGCTGGTCCTGAGCTCTGTGTGTGGGAGGGAGAGGAGCAGAATCAGCCTTCTGGGGCCCTCAGGCCAGCCCGGAGATTGCAAAAATCCAGCAAGTGCCTGACAGACCGGGAACACCTGTGATCAACATACGTGTTGGAATGAACACGGTTAAAACGGGGTCTCACATTCAAAGGGTTAAGAATGTTGATGCTGCCGAAACGTGTGTGGCTCAGTGGGTAGAGCATCGGTCTGTGAACTGAAGGGTTCCGGGTTCGATTCCGGTTAAGGGCATGGACCTTGGTTGCGGGCACATCCCCGGTGGGGGGGGTGTAGGAGGCAGCTGGTCGATGTTTCTCTCTCATCGACGTTTCTAGCTCTCTATCTCTCTCCCTTCCTCTCTGTGAAAAGTCAATAAAATATATTTAAAAAAATAAATAAAGAAAGAATGTCGATGCTGGATCTGACTCTAGCTCCACTGATTCCAAACTCTGATCTTAAGCCATGTAAACTTGGAAAACTTCGGTCTTCTTTTTTATTGATTTCAGAAAGGAAGGGAGAGGGAGAGAGAGAGAGAGAGAGAGAAACATCCAAGATGAGAGAGGATTATGGATCGGCTGCCTCCTGCACGCCCCCCACTGGGGATCGAGCCCACAACCAGGGCATATGCCATGACCGGGATTCGAACCCGGGACCTGACAGTCCGCAGGCTGATGCTCTATCCACTGGGCCACACTGGCCAGGGCTGTACTTTGTGTTTTTTGTTCCGCTGTAAATTCAATGTCTTACGTAGATAGAGGTCTGTTTAGACCAAGCACGTCACACTTAGAGGCTAGCGTGTTATGAAGAAATAAAAAAAAAAATGGCCTTAAATGAAATGACAGGCGTGGTACTGACATGCCTTGTACATAGTGGGTGCTTTTCCCAAGACGTGTGGGCTGTCCGGTAGAAACGACAGAGTTAAGCACATTGTGGACCAGTCGCTGTATTGCCAGCTTTACCCAGCGGCCAGGGAATGCGTTTTACATAAATGTTCAAGGCACGCCTCCAAATTAAATGCCCGCGGCATGATGGAGTGACTGACCACATGTTCTTACAAGCTAATGGCTTTTTCCTTTCTTTTTCCAAAAATATTTTTTATTTATTTTTTTTAAATAGATTTTATTGATTTTTTACAGAGAGAGGAAGAGAGAGGGATAGAGAGTTAGAAACATTGACGAGAGAGAATCATCGACCAGCTGCCTCTTGCACATCCCCCGCTGGGGATGTGCCCGCAACCAAGGTCCATGCCCTTGACGGGAATCGAACCCAGGACCCTTGAGTCCACAGACCGACGCTCTATCCACTGAGCCACACCGGGTTCGGCAGAGCTAATAGCTTTTTTAAAAATATATTTTATTGATTTTTTTTTTTTTTTTACAGAGAGGAAGGGAGAGGGATAGAGAGTTAGAAACACCGACGAGAGAGAAACATCCATCAGCCGCCTCCTGCACACACCCCCGACTGGGGATGTGCCCGCAACCAAGGCCCATGCCTTTGACCGGAATCCAACCTGGGACCCTTCAGTCTGCAGGCCGACGCTCTAGCCACTGAGCCACACCAGCCAGGGCCAAGCTAATAGCAGCGTTTGAAAGGATTCTCACGTTTGGCCACAAGCCTTAGAATGGGGGGAGGGGGGTTTCAAAGGAGCATTCTCGGGGTCCGGCCGCAGTGCGCTGGGAACTCTCCGCCCGACCCCCCCCCCCCCATGGTGTGATGGACTTGCCCACGTTTGCCGACCCTGGTCCTGTGCCCTCTTCCCAGGGGAGGAGACTGCGATCGCCGTACCCCTGGGCAGCCGGAGCGTGAGGATCACCGGGAAGGGGCCTGCGCACCTCTGTGAGTGGGACATCTCCTCGCGGTTTCCTGAACGTTCATTCAGCAAAGACATAATCTTCTGCCACAAGAAAAGCGTAGTAATATGCTAATTAGACCGGCCGTCCTTCCATCCTTCCAGACGACCTTTCCGGTGACCTTTCAGGCAAAGCTGGGCAGGCGAGGGCCGAGCCCCTTGCACAAATCCCGTGCACCGGGCCTCTAGTAATAATAATTGTTCTTTTTTAAAAAATATATATATTTTATTGATTTTTCACAGAGAGGAAGAGAGAGGGATAGAGAGCTAGAAACGTCGATGAGAGAGAAACATCAATCAGCTGCCTCTTGCACACCTCCTGCTGGGGATGTGCCCGCAACCAAGGCACATGCCCTTGACCGGAATCGAACCCGGGACCTTTCAGTCCGCAGGCCGACGCTCTATCCACTGAGCCAATCCAGTTTCGGCAATAATCGTTCTTTTTTAAAAATATATATATAT